ACTTACATTTTATTGAACTTTTCAGTTAAATATATATGTGAGAGTGAACAGGGATAAAGAGCAGTCTTGACAAGTTATCTAGTCGCTGTGAAAATGGCGAATGTCTCAAAACATAATTTGTAAAGAGAGTAAAACGATCGTTGATAATTTGAAAAAATGTCACAGTAAAAATTAAATAACAAATAAAAATCGCGCGAACTAAAGCTGTTGGTCAACGGTTACTGACACGTCTGGTTATTCCGCCAAAAGTTCGTATGTTAAATTTGCGCTATAGTCTCAATGAAAATAATTTATAACTATTATTTTAAAGTTTTTTTATTAATGTACTAATCAAGGGATAATATGTCTAATAACAATATAAGTGAATAAAACTATTTGAATGGCTATAACCGTTACAACGATTCTTTCATTATAATGAAAGAACTTTGATGAATCCGTACAATTATTTTGAACATTGAACGGTCCCAGCACTTATTAAAAATTGTTCGGTTATTTATTGAACGCTGAACTTTCCTAGAACTTTTAAAAAATTACACGGTTCATTTTTGAACATTGAACTCTCCCAGCACTAGTGGGTCGCTTGAACCGACCGTGAACCAAAATAATGCTACTCGGGTATCTACTGATTTGCATCGAAGCGTTTCTTATGATAGTGATTTTAATCACTGTCAGATTAAATCTATACTGGACCCAACTATGCAACATCCCCACTATGCCGCGACCCCACTGTGCTGGGTTTTTTTTTTTTAAATATGATTTTCATTTTTACGTTTTATTGTAACATAACCAAATGATGCATATTCAAAATCGATTGTGAAGAAACAGTATATCTTAATAAAAATGTTTTAATACTGGTAATTTTTAGAGTCCGATAATTGTACACGAGGATCATTAAAAACTGTATAAAAACTGTTATTATGTATTTAAAGTCAAAACTATATTTTCGATGAAAATAGATCTCTAAGAGGTTGGGTTTTTATACTATGGGTCCAATGACCCCTAGTGTTAGCCTGGTCTATTTTGTTACTAGTCAATTACTGGGAATTCAAAAATAATCCAGGAAGACAATACCCCCCCCTTGCGCAAGGTGAAGTTATAGCAAGACTTCAATGCAAAGTAGAAAAGACATTAATTTTACCAAATGTTTTTTCTCAATTTTCTATTAATACTTAGCGAATATTGCTTGACGATACATAAAAAGTTCACAAATTTCATCAAGTTGAAGACATTAATTTAAAATTTTAAAAACTTTACATTCTTTGTAAATGAGGAATACCTCCAAAAAAATTAGTTTTTGACATCGGTTATTTTCGATATATTTTTTTAAAAAAGTTTAAACAATTTTAAAATTATTTGAACTTTGAAAAAAAAATTGGAATCTGAAATGAAAAATGTTTAGGAATACCTAGTTTAGTTGAATATATTTCCCTTCTTTAGATATAAATTTTTCGAAAATTCAACCATATAGCATTTTAAAAGAGGGTTTCTACATAAACATGTTAATAATACATTTTCACTTTAAAAACTAGCATTCTTTTAAAATATTTCAAACCAATACTTATTTAATTTACTTGAAGATTTCCTCATTCCTTTGGACAAGGAGATTTATCCTACCTCCTTCTTACTTAAGTGCTTCAGAACACAAATTTTAAACATAATAAAATTTAAAAATAAGAAAAACTTGTATAATCACTATGAATTTGCACTGCAATTTAAACACAGTGCTCTAACTATGCACCTAATTAGTGTGATATTTTATAAAAATGTCAAAAATCAAAAATAAAGTATTTTATCAAAAAAATGAAAATTACCAATAAAATACAATATGAAATACGGTGAGCTATTTAAAATTAAATTTTTTTAAGTTATTATGTTTGTATATTTATTTTGAAGAAAAGGATTAATATGCAAAAAATTTTAATTATTTTAAGTTTTAAAAAGTATTCATATAAAACACATCTTATTATTTGCTTTCAATTAATTCAGAAGTTCTTACCTAAGGCGCGTCCTGTTTCATAGGCTGCAAGGAGTCTACATAAAATAATTGAAATTCATCTTCGTCTATTTAACTATCTGGAGTTGGCTCTATCATACAATTTGACAGGATTTTTACATTGACCAAAACACGACGCGTCCCTGCTGAATTAGTAAGTCAACTTATTAGAATAAGTATAATTATTCTTAAAAAAATTGCAAAATAATTATTAAGTTTCACTATTTTTTAAAATAAATATGGCTAGATTTTTCTTTAGATTCAAAGGTAAATTAAAACACTTAATAAGTACATTAGTAAAATGTAAGTAATGATAAGTTATACTTATAATACAGTTATTAGTACATAATATTCTAATTAGTGGTGCCGGATCTGGGAAGCAGGTTAAAAATACAATAGGGAAAAAGTATTATTTCACCTCTCTTGAATCTGACAAAAATTTCAAATTTTATTGACCAGTATAAAATTGCAATAAAGTTTTGCCAATGACTAAATTAACATTTTATTCATTTATTTATTTCTAAATTTCAAATTTTAATTTAGTAAAAGTCGTTCTACTTAGAAAGTTTGATTTTAAATGTCCTATAAATTTAACTAGTTTCCAGAATTATTGATATGATAATTTTTTTATTTATTCCAATAAATAAAAATAATTATAATTAAAAATGGTTTGTATATAAACTATATTTTAATATATTTTCATTAATTATTAATAATACAATAAAAAATATTAAGCGGACATTTTATCAGCTACCGGATTATATTTATATTATCACTAAAATACACAAAAAAGAAATAGCTTTCTTTTTAAACTTTATAACAATTTAGAGTACCTATTTTATTCATTAGATTTTTTCCCCATGTAAAAAATATTGTATTTAGAATAATTTTTTCATTAATTATAAAAGACGGTAGCCCCTAATATTTTTATACTTGGTAAATGATTATAATAAAAGAAAAACAGATATAAGCAGTTGAATAAAAAACTTTGATTATCAAAAAAAAATTGTAAAAATATTTAAACTCAATATTTGCCTTATCCGATTAACTATCATGTATTGTCTCATTATGGCTCAAAGTAGGGTTTACACGTTGAGCTTACATTGTTTGGAAACGAATAAATTTGTTGGAGCAATGTGTAAGAACAAATTACAGTATTATGATAATGCCACAGATAAAGTAAAACCAAATAGCTTATTAGAGAATTTAGTGATAACTTGAACCTATCTCAATGCAATGTCATCACATATAAAGAATTAAATTATTTTACAGCACTTTATAATAAGTATTGTATCACATTAGTATCAATGCATATTAATGGAATTTCAAAATATAAATATTATTATGTACTAATTAGAGGTAATCTTTTGACCAATCTTTACATAAAGTTTTTAACTTTAGTACATATTAGATAATTCAAAACACTAGCGTTGCTAGAACTTGCCCTATCATTCTGCCGCGCGTTCAAATATTTGTGTATTATTCCAAATGCTACATGATCTCCTATTTCCTTATTTATATCCTGATTACAAGTTTTAGGATTTATAACTGTAATATATGAATAAATACATAATGGGAAATGATTTTATTTAAACAAAAAGTATGTCGAATGAAAGAGGTACATAAATAGTACTTATCAAAAAAAAAAATTGTATTGATCCATTCATTTTTCAAAAAGTTATAGAATAATAAAGTTAAAAATGAAAAATATAAAATCGAGAATTTTAACACAAAAATAGCATACGGTAGCCATTTTCACCACGAAAACAAAATAAAGTCCGATTTTTTTTCCATAATAAAGTGTATTACATAAGCTTTAATTTAAGATATATATAAAAGAGTTAGTATTTCCAGAACACATTTAAAAATTAGGTTGAAAAAGTTTTTTTTTCTCTATGCATTTTTAAGTTTTGAACTCCCCTGTAATGGTCCGATTTAAGAAAAAAAGTATTTCGAATAAAAGAAGAATATAAATATTATTCACATAAAAAATTATATTGATCCATACATTTTCAAAAAATTATAGCAATATAAATTTAAAAATGTAAAGTTTGAAATCGAGAATTTTAACACAAAAATAGCAAACGATAGCCATTTTCACCGTAAAGACGAAATAAAGTACGACATTTTTTTTTCCATAATTAAGTACATTATATTAGATTTAATTTAAGATATATATAAAAGAGTTAGTATTTCCGGAACATTTTCAAAAGTTAAGTTGAAAAAGTATATTTTTTGTGAAAAAGTTGTCATTTTGAATCCCCCCTGTAGGCAGGTAAAGGGTCAGATTTTTTAAAAAAACATACCAAATGATAGGTAAATACCTCATATATATAAATTTAAAAAAATTATATTGATTTAGTCATTATTAATAAAGTTTTTGAAGTTTTAAGTAAAAAAATTTTGAAAATTAGCGATTTTTAAATTCGTAATTTTTTGGAGATTTCCCCATTTACCTAAAGGAGGGAAATTTTTGCAATTTTTTAGAGTAATGTCTTCGACTAGATATGATTTGTGATCTTTTGACGTATCCTTGAAAGAAATTCGTTCGATGAAAGATGAGAATAAGTGGTAACAGCTCAAAAAAAAAATTAAAAATTTTAAATTAAAAAACACATTATAGAAAAATACCTTCTCCGCTTCGAATCAAAGCTAAAAATAAATAATAAAATAATAAAAAAACACATTATAGTAAATGTTAACATTAAAGAAATAAAGTTAATACTCTTATAAGGGAAAATAGAAAAGAAAAGAATTAACCACTTATAATCAAGAACTAATACTACTTGAATTAACTAAAATGTGTCAAATTTATTATTATTTAAAAAAAAAATCTAGTGGTCAACAATAAACCAATTACCTTGCATATTAAAATGCAAAATCTCAATTGTTTAGGTAGTGTCATACAAAAATTTACCAACTTATTCTCATCACACAATAAAATAAATTAAAATAATATCTTTCTCCATACATAATTTCTTGATTCATAGTCTACCATTCAAAGCGGCCGTTACGCTTATCACATTTAATCGCTTAACAATTTAATATCAACGAGTCGTGGACTTGATATAATCAACTTATATTTTACAATCACTGTGTAATGTATATGACGTGTTACATTGTTACAGGCAATAAGAACAATGTTAAAACCTTAAGACATTTATTTTGCTTCGTGGTTCTATTAATTTTCCTCATAATTTTTATTGAATATACAAATGAAAAATTATTAGTATTATGTTAAATTTTATTTAGAAAATGTAATCGACTAGTTATCTTTAGACAATGTTTAATTAGTAATTCTCTTATATCTTTATAAATTTGGTAAAATGGCTGGCCAAAAATTTCAATATGATGAGAGTGGTGCTACATTTTTTTATTTTATATTATCGTTCTTAGCGTTATTGTTGGTGCCTGGAACTTATTACTGGTGGCCAAGACAGCAAAAAGAAGGTAATGATTTTATAGTTTTTATCAGTTGGATATTTAAGTAATTGTATTTACATTTTTTAGATCCAAAGTTATTAGCATCTGAGTGTTATTGTCCAGGATGTAGAAAAAAAAAGACTATATTACAATCTACTAAACCATGGGAATTAATGAAAAAAATGTTTGTGTATGTATTATCTTGAACATTTCTCAACTGAATCCATTATTCAATTTATTTCAAAACAGTAATTTGAAGTGCATTCTTTTGTTTTTATTTACAATTTAGTTTTAGTAATAAACTATATTAACAATATAATTAAGTTATGGCACTAAATTTTAAAATCCTTTATTTCAAAAACTTTTCTTTATAACTAATGACAAACATTTTTTGTTCATTAATACCCAATATATATTAGTAAACAAAAAAAAAATCTGTAATAAGATTATATTGCATATAGATATGCTTGAATGTAAAAAATCTGTACCCTTATAATGAAGATAAATTAGTTTTAAAACCCATAGTAGTTGTTATACTATTAATATTTTTAACCAAGTTTATTGTAGAATATAAATTAATTACAGTCATACAATTTTTCTATAATTAATTAAATAAATTTTAGTTTAATTAAATAAAATTACCAATGAACTGTATCAAATAACAATTGTTATGTTCATTATACTTACAATGTCTAGAAGTTAAGTTCTAGACATTTTTCATTAATAATTACTCTAATACCTAAGCAAAATTTTATTATAAACCTTCATAATAGTCTTTGTTTGTTGCACCCACATTTGAAAGCACCCTTGGTAATCCCCGTTGTCAACCCATTCAACACCACATTTACAGTTTCTTTGACCTATATACCGCTATGATGAGTTCCCTTGAAGTGCAACTTCATCTTGGAGAATAAGAAAAAGTTGCTGGGGGATATTGGATAACTGAAAAGATAGTGCTCTGGTAGATAATGAACTAACTAGAGTTTGAGCCAATTATAAATGGCAACATAAGAATATTTTACAAAAGCATTTTTATCTCAAAAATTAACTATTTATATAAATATATAAAATTAAATTTTTTTTAAGTATTGTGTTTGTTTAAAAATTTTCTACCTCTTCAATCACATACTTTATAATTATCACTGATCTCCTCATTTCACCTACCTTCTAATTAATTCTTATTAATAAGATCTTTCGACCACCTTATGCCAACACCACCTAATATTTTCTATACTTCTACTGGCACTTCATCTAGTCCTACTACTTTATTCTTTTTCATTGATACCACAACCTCCAATACCTCATTCTCACTTAAATCTATCAGTCCATTGTTCTATCAGATATCTTTTAATGTTTCTAATGGATACTCCTCTTATAGTAATTTTTTAAAATACTCTTTTCACCTTTGTTTCACATCATTATCACTCATTAGCATTCTCTTATCATCACTTTTTATACATTTTATATTGTGATAATCTTTAGAACCGTTTTGCTCTTACTTCTACAAGTCTTCTATTTCAACTTCCTTTGTTCATAGCCTATCATACAACTCATCATCCCTTTTAAACTTGGCTATACTTGCCTCACACTTAGCTTATTTTTACAAGCATTTATACTCAATCCAATCTTCTCTCCTTTTGCTCTTCTGCCATACTTAGAATTGCTTTTGTTACTTCTTAGGTTTTTTTGAACGTCTTCATCCCACCACCAGGTTTCCTTGTTTTCTGATATTCTTCTTCTACTCTCACCAATAATCTCCTTTGCAGTATTCTTTAAACAACTAGCAAATATACTCCACACATCATTTGTGTCTTCCTCTACATTTTACACTATCCTCACTCACTGTCTTTAAAAACTTTTTTCTTTTTCCCTCTTTCAATTTATACCACCAGATTCTCGATTCTCCTTCTGTGTTCTTACTATTTTTGTATACACTCTTCACACTTTACATCACAACTCCATTAGCATCAGTCTATGTTGTGTATTTAGACTCTCTCCTGGAATAACTTTACAATCTTTTATTCTCTTTATGCTCTCTCTCTTCTACATAAAATAATCATCCTGTTGTCTATTACTCCCACTGTGATAAGCTATATTATGTTCTTCCCTTTTTCTAAAATAAGTATCAATCACAGTAAGATCATATGATTCTATGAAATCTAAGATTCTTTCTCCAGCCTCATTCTTCCCACTAAACTATACCACCTTCCATGTACTCGTTTATATCCTCTCCACTCTTTACCAATATATCCTTTCATATCTCCATCTATCACCGCATCCTCATTACACGGTATTCTTTACATCACCTCATTCATCTCTCTCCAAACCCCTTTTTGTCTATTTTATCACATCTTATTTATGGTGCATTAGTTCTTATTACATTCAACCCTTTTTTTTCGAAAATTTATTTTATGACCATAATTCTGTCAATTTTTCTATCTACTTCTACTACTTTACTTTCATCTCCTCATCCATTATTATCCCTACATCATTCTTTGTATTAGATTTACCTGAGTATATTTTTTATAATCTTCACCTATTTTCCTTGCTCTCTCTCCTTGACAGTTGGTTTCCTGCACACAACAAATATTAACTTTTCTTCTCTTCAATCCTTCTTCCTTTTAATGTTCTAACATTCCACACACCTAACCTTACTTTGTATCTATCTTTCTCCCTTAAATATAAGTCCAGTCTAGAATTAAATGATGACTTCCCTACACCGTTAAAACTACAATGGTAGGGTAGGCCTATATACAGAATAAGTGAAACAGCTATGACACAAGTTGTATGGTTGGTATCAAACACTTCATTCTTTAGGTCTTCCCTGTCTTTAACTACTTTATTTCCTCTCACCTGTTGTCCCCATGTATATTCCAGATAGGACAATCCATCTAAGTTTTATTCAGGATTCCTCCTACTTTTTCAAAAAAAATTTTATACTGGTTGTCAATCTGATGCAACCTTATTAAATGCTTCTTATGACTGTTAGAGGGGCTGTGGATGTATTCTTATCCCCTATTCATAGGGTTGTATAGTTGTCATTATAATATTAAAAGTTTTATTTTGTTTGCATTTAATAAGTTTAATAATTGCTTATATTTTGTTATGAAAACAAAATTACTTTTATGTTATAATATTTTAAATAGATAAAATAACAAATTGTCTTCCTAATAACGGTTTTTTTTTTTTTCAGAAAAATAACTATAATTTCTGGTTGGGCCTTGTTAGCATTTCTTGCATATAAAGTTTCACAGTTTGATTATGAAAGTGCAAGTTTTGATCCTTATGATATTTTAAATGTTCCAATTGTGAGTAAATAAAAAAATTTAATTTAGACTTTTTAAGAAAACTTTTGTAAGGTATTTCATAATTTTTAGGGTACAAATGAAAAAGTTATTAAAAAAGCATATCGAAAATTATCTTTGATATATCATCCAGACAAAGAAACTGGTGATGAAAAGAAATTTATGAAGCTTACTAAAGGTGTGTATTCTAGATTTTAAAATATTTATTAAGACAATTACGTTATATTAAAAATTTGAAATTCATAAAAACATATGAAAAAGTTTATATATTGTATTTACTTAATTTTAGCTTACCAAGCCTTAACAGATGAAGAATCTAGAAAAAATTGGGAAAAATATGGGAATCCTGATGGCCCTGGAGCAATGAGTTTTGGAATTGCCTTACCATCTTGGATTGTGGAAAAAGAAAATTCATTTTGGGTATAATAATTACATTCATAAATGATGTTAACTTAATACTAAGTTGTAAAAGTATAAAAACCATTTAATTAGAAGTGGTTAAAATATACTAATTTTATTGAATCAATTTACTCCCTAAGATATAGCCATTCTGATATCAGGATTGCATTATGTTTTTTTAATAATGTGACTATCAGTAATATTGGTAGTCAGAAAAAGAAATTACCAAGGGCATTGGAAGGGATATAAAATATGTATACATATATTGAGGGTTGGTTATATATATATATATATATATATATTTCAAAAAAATTCCAGGGTGGTGGTCCTTTAAGGCTTCTCAGATACGGTCTTGGAAATTACTTTATTTATCTACTTAAATTAAAAGTATTTAATTGCATTGTAATTATTACCAGATAGTTGTGTAAAAAATTGAAAAGGGTGTTATTTTTTAAACAAAATAGTAGTATAGGTAGTAAAAAAGTTGTAAAATTATTGTTTTTTCTTTAATATTTTTATAAGAATTTTTTTCTATTATTAATAGTTATAGTTACTTATGGAATTATAATTCAAATATTCCAACTGTTTATCACTTAGTTATAAAAATTATTCTATTATTAGGTGTTAGGACTCTACGCCTTAGTGTTTATGATTGCTCTTCCAACAACAGTGGGGATGTGGTGGTATAAATCTATACGATATTCTGGAGACAAGGTATAAATTTATATTTATTTGCTATTGTTGTCCAAACTAATTATCTTATTATTTGTCAGGTTTTACTGGAAACATCTCGAATGTATTATTATTTTTTGCATAAATCAAATTCTATTCCTTTGAAACGTGTAATAATGATTTTGAGTGCTTCATTAGAGTTTGAAAAAAAATATAATAGTGAGATAGTAGAACGGTCCAGTGATGAATATGAAATGCCACAAGTAATTATTTTGTTAATTTGTATATAAACAAATGTTATTTTTGAGGTTATAAATAATTTTTAATATATTTTTATTATTAAATAAATTATTCAATTTTAATTATATAATTTTTTTAAACAATTTTCTTCCAAAAATATAAAGCTATACCAATATAATTCTTGAAAATTTGAATTATTTAAAAATATATAACATGTTGAACAATTTGAATGAAAAAAATAAAAATAAGAACTCACATTTTATTATTTTATTTTATGATATTAATTTTATGTCATTGGATTGATATAAAATATAAAAGTATTTCATTACCTCTTAACAGGCTTCTGTTAATAATTGAGTAGAAAATATTAATATATTAATTTTATAATGTTGAAAATGTATATGGACATAATGAATTCCATATAATGTATGTATGGAAATAAAGTTTTTTAAATAATCAGTGCCCTTTTCCTTACTTTTTGAACATTCTATTTAAATATATATTGTATGTATTTAACTTTATATATGATTTCAGCTTATAAAGCAACTGTATAATTTTATTGAAAAAGCTCAAAAAGAACCACCTTTGTCATACAATTATTCAATTAAAGCTCGTGCGTTAGTTCATGCACATTTATCACGATTACCTCTAAAAGCTGATACTTTGGACTTGGATCGTATGTATATAGTAAAAAAATGTCCTTATTTAATTCAAGAAATGGTTGGTGTTGTGTCTCAATTAATTTTGCTTGCGTATGCTCAACGAGGTAAGCAAATAAAGAGACTATGGTATTTTATATTGAGTATATATACAGATGGTCCTATATGATTTTTTGACAAATTTAATATTTTGTATTACTTTAAAAAAAAAATAATTTATGCATTCTTAGACTATGTTAAAATCCTATTTTTTTATTATTTATATATAAATGAGTAGGTATCTTTATAATTAAGCGATATTGAAGGTAAATAAATGTAGATACATACACACTTTCTTGGATTGTATCAAAAAAGTTGGTAAACTAAATCTATTTAAATGAAAAAAATAAAAAAATTTTATTTTATATGTATAAAAAAAAATACAGGAAAAACATTATTATATCAAAATTTATAATAATGGTTTGTTAGATTTGAGTCACTCTGTATATATATATATATATATATATATAT